TCTACACTCAGGCTCCATCTTCCCATGGTCATGGCTTTAGCTGATTATGTGCAGTAACCGCATCCAAACTTGAATAAATCATGAAAAGAGTTTTTAAAAATGTATTAATCTGTGCTTAAGCTGGCTGTGTACTTGGACAAGCCTACAAGGGCATGGTTGCAGTTCAGAAATTACTAAGATATACATGTACCAGTAGCCAAGCTGCTTTCTGGGTGCTGCATTTTTGTTACTTTATATTGGTCTGTGACTGGTCCTGACCGGTCATGAACAGTCCTAAAAGCACCCAGCGCCATCTAGGACCAAGGACTGTGACCAAGACTGGACTGACGTAGGACTGGACCATACCCAGTCCTGATCAGTCCAGTCTCAGTCTAAGTCCCGGTCCCGACCGGTCCTTAGGACCGGACCCTCAACCACTATGGATTTGATCCAACACAGGACACACCCATCGAGATCCTTCACACTATTCTTTTGGGGATGACAAAGTATGTCTGGCATATGACCCATATACAGTGGACTACAGAGCAGAAAAATCTCTACGCTCATCGGCTTCAGGCAACAGATGTCAAAGGCCTATCAATCCCCGCAGTCCGTGCTCAGTACATCATGCAATACGTGAGTTCTCTTGTGGGTCGCCAGCTCAAGACGATTACACAAACAATCTCGTTTCATGCCTACGATCTTGTACCGCCACTTGTGTTTCAGCTTTGGCGAGCAGCAGGAGAGTTTTCATCTCTTATTTGGTTCCCTGAGATACAAAATCTAGACGAGTATCTGGTATGTCTATAGTTCGACGTCAGGAATAGATGCTAATTGGTACATCTCAGGATGACATTGAGGTCACTCTTGCAAACGTGCTCAATACATTCTGTGATATAGAGCCAAGCAAAATAGTTGAGAAGGTCAAGCTACACCTACTGACACATACACGATACGACATCCTTCGCTTTGAACCCTTGCCGGGTCAAGCCACAGAAGGCCATGAAAGCTTCAACGCTGTCTTCTGGCACTGCTCCGTCTTCTCAAACCATTTAGCCCCAAGCCGTGACATTGCCAAGCAGCTCACTCAGCAAGAGGGGATGAAACATTGTCTTACAGGTGGCTACTGGCCAGACAATGAGAGCGGAGACTGGTGTAGGGCAGGCCCGGGTGTGCGCAACTACCTGGAAAGACATCCTATCCTGCAGCGCCTGCTTGGCTGGACAGAACACCTGCAACAGGCCCCTGGTCAGTGCGCCATCAAGTACTATGACATGGAAGCAACTTATGTGTGGCTTATCCCAGGTTCGTCAAAGCCAATACCTCTCAAGAAAGGCGAAAAGTCTCGCCCTATACAGCGACTAGCAGAAACAAAGGCATCAAAAGCATTATACTATGACAGTAGCAAAGAAGACTCGCAGTGGATTAGTGGCAGAGCAGTTGTCGCACAATCTGCAGAGGAGTGTTTTCCTGGCTCTTGGGTGTTTGTTCGTTCACCTGCAATAGTATGCCATACCTCTTGGCATACTAGACGACAGCGCTGCACAAATAACTTACCTGTCTTTGGGCTACAGGACACTGGCAACGAATTGCTCGTTGGAGTCATCGTAGAGATTTTAATCTCCACGGCCAGAAAGGAGCCGGAGGCAGTGGTTGTTATTGAGAGGTTTTCTGTTGCTGAGCGGCGTCATCCCCGGTGGAATATGCCATACATGTACCGGCCGAATGCTGAGTCAGTGCTCGTGCTTATCCCTGCAAAGGTACGTAGTGAGTACAATCTTACTACTGGCTATTAATAACCATGCCACATGGGCCATTTAGAACGTCGAGTTCGCATTCAATGCCCAGCATGATTGCCCGTCCACTGGCTGTGCAATCTCAGGTACGCGCATGGCCGTCCAGGAGTGCGAAGCATCAGGAAAAGAAGAGGGATACATGGAGCACAAGCACTCACTTGCCGACAGATTTATTGTCAACACACACAGCTTCCATAATGCGCATCTCTTGCACTCAGCCCTTCCTCGATACTTGACAAAGCCAATTCCCCTGTATCCGGATCAATGGGCCAAACATAAGGAGCAAGCAAAGCGGCTCCGAGAGGCTAATGCGGGTAAGAAGACACAAAAAGCCAAGGCCAAGCAGCTTGAAACAAGGAACCAGACCGCCAAGGCTGGCTCAGCACGGTGGCATCCTGTTACAGCCATGGCAAGTAGACAGAAAACTCAGCAGACCATCGTGATGCCGCCTGCCGATGACCAAAGTGACGTATCAGAATACGATGATAAGTCAAGCGATGAGCCGGAGGATGTGGATGTGGATTTGTTAAGTGTAGCGTCATCGGACGCAGAACTCGAGGAGAGTGGCGGCAACAAGATGGGGCTCTCAGATGATCACAACTCAGACACGGAAGAAGACCCTGAGCCTTCTCGCAAACGCAAGAGAGCATGACCGCATCTGTATTATGGCCGTGGTATATAC